TTAATATTTAAACATTATTAATTTAGCTATTATTCACATATTTAGTAATGAGTAGTAAATTTTCTACCTCAAGAGCTAATCTGGACATCAGCTCTGCTAGCCATATCACATAGTTCAAGGTTTCATCAATGTCAGCTATTTTTTTGTTTGCTACACTATTTGAACTAATACACAGTGGATCATGTAACACAAAATTGTCTTCAACTCTAACAAAAGTAGTTTAAACTGTCCTTTTCAATCTGAACATCTCATATTGACATCTTGATTTGTTGGTACTTAACAGTACACGAGGATTTTGAATGCTATGCAAGGGTACTGCAAGAATGAATTGAGGGGTGTCGAGAACCAGATTGGTTATCACAACTCTGTAAGGTGATGTGGAAAGTAGGGAAGAGGACAAGAAATAAAAATTAGTTTAAGGCAGAATAAAGGTTTGGGCCACTAATTTTGTCTCAGGTTTAAAATACAGCCCCTAGAATAGAAAACAAAAGTATATAATGATTACATTCACTTTTGTATTTATTGTTTTATTGAAAAATTCAGTCATAGTTCAGAGTACATTAAAATAGACATACCACTTCAAACAGTAATGGTTATTATGCTTCTTCACCCTATTCCAGCACTTCTCACAATATGTAATTTCTATTTTTTCTTCTTGTATAATTTCACTTGCCTTTTATTGTTGTTTCATTATATAAAAGGAAAATCTTAACATAGCACATTCCATGATACGGGTTTCATTTCAAGTTAAGTTTTCAAAAATAAGCTCTTCTTAAAGCTTCCATTTTAAACAGTCCTTGTTTTCTAGTACAACGTAGATAACAATCTCACTTGTATATAGTACCAGTGCCCCTTGGCTCTCGAAATCTGTTATTTCCTGTTGTACCTACTGAACACTTGAAGACAGGTGCGCTGTCTCGTGTGTTTGAATTATGAATGATAATTTCTAATGAATTCTAAAATGGTCATTATAGGTGAAAGGCTCTCGCTGCCACTTCCTCTTCCAACTAAGTAAATATATTTTAATGTATTTCCAGTTGTGGAAAGCTTTCAATACATCTATCAAGTATTTCCTTCTCTCAGTTTTTTTTACAAATTTTTACAATCTAAGAATCTTTGATAAAGGAACTACAGATGCATGCAGTTGCAGAATTAATGTATTTATTTTCTAGCATCACTTTGTTAGCTTCGCCTTTTTCTCTCAAAATAGTAAATATCCAATTATAGACTCGTGTTTAGCTTTTTTAAAAGCTAGATCAACAGCATTCTATTTTACAAGGTTTTTACAT